TAGTAACTCATGTATGATGTATCTTACTATGCCCGGCTGCACTCTGTAAAGCTAGCATTATAGGTACTATGCTTATCAATATTTAAAAGGAATGCTAGTGTTTTGCTGTTTATCCGGCTTTAGATGAACCTTTTTCGTAGTTTAATTGCTGTAGTGTATCTTGGAGGTCATTTTAACTTTTATTCAGTATATGGGATTTTCAATATAGGATTCTTCTCAATTCGGCAGTGTTTGTATCCTTACTCAGTGGCATATCCATGCTGGCTTCTAATAAGTTAGCCGAAGGGCCTTTATTTTGATTGGCTTATATTCAAGCATCACCACCTGGCCAGACTTTCTTCTTTGTTCGTTTCAGTTACCTTCAATTGTATTTTTTCGTGACGTCAGTTGAATCGTGTTGAGAATTAGAAGTAGAAAATAAATCAGGTTTTGCTACTTTCCTAGATTCAAGACGTTCAAGGTTCTAAGTGTAGTTTTTAGTAGGCCGGACCATGCCTAATTTCTCTCTTTTATGACAGGGCAAGTTTTGTTTTCTCGCCATTGGAAATTATATTCAAATCACGAAATCTTAGGACAAATATTTTTTTAAACCTTAAGATTTCTCCTTACGTTTTTGTATAAGTGTTGCTCATCATAGTGAACTGTTTTCGATTTTAGATCATAAATTTGGTAAAAGATTAGAAAATAAATGCTGATTTTGGGCGAAATATGCTTTTTGCGTTTCTTTTAATTTATGACGTACATGTCACCTCAAGAGTTGCGAGAAAAACCTTTTTTCGGTGGCACAAAATTTAAAAATGGCTTTGAAACAAGCTATCATTTGAAAACGTACTTTCGCTTTATGCTTAAAAGCTTAAATAGGTTTTATAATAATACTTTTTCTTTGCTTTTTGAAAAGTTAATTAGATGACCGGTTGTCGGTGTAGCATTCCGCAAGAATCATGCCTTGCTCCTTTAAGTATTATGCCTAGGGGCTCAACTGTATGCTGTGTCCACAACTACATGAAAGGTTGTGACTTTTATATTCAAGTAAAGGTTAATTTCTCAAAGGTCGTTATATTTGTCTGCAATTAGCCTGTCTTACATTTAATTTTTACTTTTTTACAGGACCGTTTCTATGATTTCACCACAAGTTAATATTTCATTTTCTCCCTTCGTTTTGCGCTCCACGCCTTTGCAAATCTAGGATTTGAAAAGCTTTCTTTTCTCTGGCCTAATTAGACATATGTTGCATAAGTTATCTGAAATGTAGCCGAAACGAACCAACAAAGGATAAGCGGAAAGTGATCAGAAAATCCTGGTGTTTCTATTATAAATCAATGTTGTAACAGTGAATTTAATTTATCTGTGACAATGTAGATCAAATTTGCAAACAATTGATAATCAAGAAAACCTCTTTGTTTATTCTTAGTGACCGAAATTACTGCAATTTTGGCCTTTGTAAGAAACTTTTTTTAATTCCTTAATGCACAGAAACCCGTAAGATTTTCGTAATTATTTTTAGCGAAAAATTCGTCAATTTACGGACAAATGATTCAGTTTGTTTGGGTTTCATTTCCTTTAATTAATGCTGTTGTAATCTCTGGTTCCTGTTGAATCACAAAGTATTTTCCCACATAGTTGATTTGTGTTTAATGTTGTAAATGGAAAATCTGAATCGGCTAGTTGGAGTTTTGTCTTCATCTTTTTATAGACATAAAACTGCATGGACATTTTCCCAAATCATACCTTTGTTTTTATGGATACTATTTACGGCCTCTCTTGTTAACGGCCTCTTTTCATGTCAACTCAAAAACTAGACTGTTTCTTCAAAAATTGTGTAATTCACAGAATAAATCCAAAACTCATTCGGAATTCTGGTCTTTATGAATCTTTGTTTATGAAGTGGCCGATAAGTCAGAGTCTGGAAACCGTCAGGAAAAATGGAGCGGGTCGAAGTACTCTCATCTGTGTTTAAGCACGGTAAGATCGAAACGGTTCCTGAACCTAGAAGTATTCCCATTGTCAGTGTACCGCTCTGCCGCTTTTTAGTAATGCTTATTCACCACTCAGAAACCGAAAATTTCCATCTCCAAATATATTCAAAAACGCTTTTACGCCTTTGGTGATAAGAAAGGTGCCGAATTTAGAAAAAATTAGAGACGACCTTCATATATTAGGTAACTTTATACAGAAAGATAATGGCAAGAAAAGTGTCATTTGTCAACGGCGAAGTCCCTTCCCATATAAGATACCTTCCCAGGGCCCAATTCACGAGGGCGGACTCCCCAATTTTTTGGTGAGCAAAGTTTTCCATAGAGGCCCTGTTTTGAAGCACTAAATTCGAGTTCGATTGATGGAACTTTCCCCTCCACCTTGAAATTTGTGGCATGGGACCTGTGTTTGTATTTGTATTTGTATTTGTACTTGTTGCTACCTAGCATCTGAAGGTAGTTTTTAGGACACTGAGAAGCTATGCTTATCAAGCAGTGTCCTGGCCCTTCCTCTTGGTGTGACCACACCTCGTGATTCATACGCCTGGAACTACAGAGAGCTGGCGACTCTGCCCTCTCTGAGTGAAAGTTTAGTCATGCCAGGGATTCGAACAACGGACTCTTGAGTCTGTGGTCAGTGCCTCTAACAACTGAGCCATCCTCGCACCTTGCATATGGATGAAGCTTGTAAACTAAAGAACAAACTAAAGACAAAATCATCAAACTGTTTAAGCTATTGTCTCCCATAAAGGGTGTTGCATCTTTTGTTTCATCAAATTTTTCATTTGAGTGATAATCTAGTCTGGTTTGGGTATTTTTATTCCAAATAACAGATACAAAGCGATGAAGGGGGGATTGTTGTCATCAAAGGCACCAAACATATATTCTTAAGCGAAAGTTGAACATACTGTAAATTATCTTTAAGCTCCCGGGGGCTTATTGTTTTTCAGCACTTTAAAGGAGGCATAAAAGAGAGGGGGCTTAATAAGTTTTTTGTTTTTTGCGAAATAGAAAACATCAAATCAGGCTTCTTCATCAATAATATTGTCATCCTCGTTGTCATCAATTATTGATTCTAAAATATCTTCTTGGGTCATGTCGTCGTTTGAAATCTAGCGTTCGTAAGGGTTATATTTATCTCTCTAAGTACCAAAGTCCTGTAATTTTATTAAAAGTCTCTCACATGGAACATTCAACCTTTGTCTTCGAATCCGTCGAGGCTATAAAAGGGGAGCTTAATTGAGAGGGGGGCCTAAAAGAGAATTTACGGTATTATTTATGACAGCTAGCCACATGAGCCGGAAAATTACGAGAAAGGCGAGGGACCTTTATCTCCCAACCACGAATTTGTTATGGAAACAATAGAAAACCGATAGGGAGTTTTCGGGAGTCGATCAAAACCCCTACCTCTTCCCCCCGGCTTTTCCGATAAATAGTATTAAGGAGATTACACAAAAAAATTAATCATTACTTTTGATTAATCATAGGTTAAGCAATTTGGAAGCAAGCACCAGTTATTTAACCATTCATTCGAATTTGCTGCATTGATAACCCTCATCTGTTTGCAGCTGACCAAACACTGTGGTGCACGCACAAGCTTAAAAACTGGTGGCTAGATAGACGCTCTGCTTTGAAATTCAAATGAATACACTGGTAGATAGAATACTGCCAGGTGTGCAAACCGAACGCCATATAAAGCTAATGTTGGATCTACTATCAACTTATTTCAAACAGACAGTCAAAAATTTCTGCAACTGTTTCTTTGCACATTTTGTCTAATGTTTAAAATGTTTTGTTTGTTGGAAGATCAAAGTTGAATTTATTTTTTCTTCAAATCTGTTTTTGTTGTCTCATGACGCATGGGTCGGCTCCTAGTTTTCTTCCTTTCTTTTTTTCGACTGAGTTCAGGTAGTGAGTTCTTTGTAGAAGCATTCATCTACTTATTATTATTCTTGCTCAGCTTCTCCTCGCTCATCAGTGCGTTGTTTGTATCGTTACTAGCTATTCATTTATGTGGCTTTTCCATATACTTTTGTCACCTGTTATGCCTGTATCCTGTATTTCTCTATTTCTCTATTTCTCTATTCAGATGTGATGTTCACTGCGAGTGAACATTGTGATGTTCACTGCGAGTCCGTTTGCCACTGATGGTACCCCCATCAACCCAAACACACTGTACCTGATCAACATACCTGATCAACAACTCGAACACATCGTGTCTGATCAACTCGAACACGCTGACTACCTTTATTTGATTGACTACCTTTATCCACTAAACCTTGCAAAGGATAAAATTAGAAGTCATCGCAATGTGTTTGTCGGTGCTTATGTGGTATTGAATTATAGCATAGAGCTGCTTTTTCAACTACTTAGTGCTGAGTTAGAAATCCTACGATTTTATAGTATGCAATCATCGTGATGTTCCTTCGATTGACAGGCCTCCGACCGGTCTTTGATTGATGGGCCTTCAACTGACTGGCCTTCCATTGACCGGCCTTCAATTGGCAGGCCCTCCATTGACCGGCCTTCGATTGGCCGGCCCTCGATTGACCGGCCTTCGATTGACCGGCCTTCGATTGACCAGCCTTCGAATGACCGCTCACTCTTCTGTCACAACAAAACCAGATGATCAATAAAACACTGTATAAACTCTCTTCCATCTAATATATTTTCACAGAAGATGAATCGACGTTGAGTGGCAGGGGGGGAGTACCCAATCTCAGCATCATCTGTCAAAAACAGAAGGGTCTCATCTACTTTGATACCCAATGCCTGTATCATGAGTAACAGCTCTCATCAAGCTGAGTTTTACGCGGAATCTCGGCTTAGCTTTGTCCACTATCAACGTATATTGTATATTCTATATAATCGACGTGTTTTACACTATGCTGATGAAATTTACAATGGTAAAAGTATAATCATAGGTTGTGCTGGAGGAAAAGATATGATGTTACGTTATCACATTCGAATGTAATATTACAGAATATCATGTAATATTGTAAGTGTGAAATTTTTGCTTTTTTGCAGTTTGTGGGGACATTCATGGACAGTTTTACGATCTGGTAAAGTTATTTGAAGTTGGCGGGAACCCAGCAACAACGCGGTATTTATTCTTGGGAGATTACGTCGATAGAGGATACTTCTCAATAGAGGTAAGAATTATGAATAGCAAATTATCTTTTAAACATGCGCTATAAAAGAGTTTTCCCCTCACCCAGTGTCAATCCTGATTATTCAAGGTGTGTCAGCACCCCATTGAGTGAGGGCTACTTTTTACGGCCTTTTATTGTTGCAAAACAGAACCGTCAAAAGGCTTGTCGATTTCCCCAGCCCAAACCTACAGTTTCTCATAATTCCCGCAGTGCCGGACTTAACGTTCCGTACATCTAATTTTGTTATTAAAGAAAAGCACACATCCAACTGTTTGAAGTCGACGAGTATAATACCCATAGGCAAACTGTTACAATGACACATTTTTATGGTTAAGGCTCGGTGTGTGTGTGTGTTATTTTATTTAGAGTCGAAATTTCCATAAGATTAACGATTTTCTTTTAAGTTTACAAAATGTAATCTGATCCAAATCGACTAGAAGTATCATATTGCTACGCAAGGTTTAATGATTCCCTCCCCCTCAACTCCACCCTCCCCTTCCCTTCCCCCCTCCCCTTCCACCAGGGTATAACGAGAATTTTCCAAGATTTTCATCCCCTGAACAAATTTTTAAACCCAAACTTTAATTAAAATTTTTGAGCTAAAAAATATGTTCGTAAGTTCTCTTTTTTTATTTACTTGAGTGGTTATCGGGAGGAAAAAAATTTTTTTTGCAAACCAGAAAATTGAATGCTGCATAATAAATATTTTAAGAAGTAAATTCATGCTAGCAGATTTTCGTCTGCAGTTACAGGCGAAATTAGGCTTGTGTCATTGTACACAGGCGTCGTCTGCAGAGAGTCATTTGCTTTTGATGCGATCACTGAAGTTTCGTGTAATTTTATCAGCCATTGTTTGCAATTGAACGTCGATTAAACTAGTCTTCAAAACCAGTGTGAGATAACGAGTGTGATCAATTTTAAATTCACCTAGTGTTGTAGAACGCAAATCGTGACTCAGCATATTCGAGTATACCCTCTTCTGTTATGATGTTTTTAATGCCTACTTATCCATACATTCGTTAGCAATTCGAGCATGTGATAATTTGATAATTTTAAAGTTCTATCTAATGCACGGAAGGCCTATAACTTGAAGTTAACTGGTGATATAGCAAATGTCAGTTATTAAAAGTTGGGTCACATGGACAATCTTTTTCTCTAACTTAGAAGTTCAGAAATATTTTAACATTCAATTAATTGAAATGATGGGTATATACTAATTAATTTTTTTATTTCACAGGTTCATATCTATTTGTCGCTCAATTTTTAATTTTCTTTTTCAGTGTGTTCTATATTTGTGGTCACTGAAAATTTTATACCCTAAAACGCTGTTCTTGCTACGTGGAAATCACGAATGTCGGCATTTGACTGAGTACTTCACTTTCAAAACTGAATGTAAGTAACTGGTGTTTGAGTAGCAACGGCATTATTATCTAGCCGTGCAAGTTTTCATAGCTGCAAACCGTAAATCTTTTAAATTCGTATTAAGCGGTGTCCCTAGCAGCGAGATTCCACTGAACATTTTTAGATTTTTTATGCTCTAAGACATTATTTGACATATTGGAAGGAAATTAGACCTAGACAAAGTGATCCATTTGCCTCGTAAAGCAAGAATTTTGTGATCCGCCCCTCAGATTGTTATGACGTCATCGAATGCTTATAACCAATATCATTCAAATTTCACTGTTTACATTCTGATGATTGGAATGTTTTATGCAGCCGGATCCTAAAAGCGTATCAATATTTGTGTATATTTTTCGGCAAACAATTTGTTTTAGGCTTTGTTTTAGACATTTTTCGAATACCAATTTTTTTACTAAATGATATCAATAATTTTATTCCAATTAACCGTAGGCAAAATCAAATATTCTGAAGCTGTTTACGATGCTTGCATGGAAGCATTTGACTGCCTCCCCTTAGCTGCTCTTCTCAATCAGCAATTTATTTGTCTTCACGGCGGGCTATCTCCCGAGATACATACACTGGATGACGTCAAAAAGGTTTCTCATTATATTTGTTTTCTAGATTTGCCCTTGCTAAACCTTCTGTCTTCATAAAATGACCTTCTATTTCCAAAAATGACGTAAAGATTTATTATTATTTATATTCAATTCACTGTTTATGAAATTATCATCCTATGGTCTCCATACGCTTCACAGTAGATTCATGTAAAGCCGATAGAATAGCAACTTGAACAACTAAAACTAATTTTATAACATAATTAATATTCTTTGTAGAATGACCGGAATTATTGTAGATATTATTCTGTAGATTGACCGGAATTACTAGATATTCTCTGTAGATGACCGGAATTACTAATATTTCTGTAGATTGGCCGGAATTTTTAATATTCTCTGTAGATTTACCGGAATTATTGATATTTTCTGTAGATTGACCGGAATTACTAATATTCTCTGTAGATTGACCGGAATTATTGATATTTTCTGTAGATTGACCGGAATTACTAATATTCTCTGTAGATTGACCGGAATTATTGATATTTTCTGTAGATTGACCGGAATTACTAATATTCTCTGTAGATTGACCGGAATTATTGATTTTTTCTGTAGATTGTACCGGAATTATTGATATTTTCTGTAGATTGACCGGAATTACTAATATTCTCTGTAGATTGACCGGAATTATTGATATTTTCTGTAGATTGACCGGAATTCTGTAGATTGACCGGAATGTAGATTGACCGGAATTACTAATATTCTCTGTAGATTGACCGGAATTATTGATATTTTCTGTAGATTGACCGGAATTACTAATATTCTCTGTAGATTGACCGGAATTACTAATATTCTCTGTAGATTGACCGGAATTATTGATATTTTCTGTAGATTGACCGGAATTACTAATATTCTCTGTAGATTGACCGGAATTACTAATGTTCTCTGTAGATTGACCGGAATATTTAATATTCTCTGTAGATTGACCGGAATTATTAATATTATCTGTAGTTTGACCGGAGTTACTAATATTCTCTGTAGATTGACCGGAATTTTCAATATTCTCTGTAGTTTGACCGGAATTACTAATATTCTCTGTAGATTGACCGGTTCAAAGAACCGCCGGCTTTCGGACCAATGTGCGATATACTCTGGTCCGACCCGCTAGAGGATTATGGCAGTGAGAAAACGAACGAACACTTCACACACAACAGTGTAAGGGGCTGTTCATACTTTTACAGGTAAACTTTTGTCTTTTCTTACTTTCTTTTAAATATGATAAGTAAAACAAATTAATTATTTAAAAAGCTCTGCAATGCGATGTCTTTCCAGATACGTTTCTCAGTCCATTATTCTTTTAGTGTTGAATTGGTTTCTTAATCAAGTGAAACTTCATTGGAACTGTGAAAAATTGTATGATGGTGGCCATATATTGAAAGATCCTTACAACACCAAAGCCCAATGCTTTAAACGTTGGTCACACCTGGGAAACGGCCATTTTAAACAAAGACACAGATTGGATATCTACTTTATCTTGTCAATAGTTGGGTATTCCCTCGGCTGAATTTATATCCATCAAAGATTACAGCTTGACTAGATTTTTGCCTGTAATTCAGAAGATCATTGGGCCGAAACAATTTTATTCATAATTCGGACGTTAGCCTTTTGTCCCCCTAACAGCAAGTTTTTACCCCTTGGCAACATTAGGGAGGCTTCCCTAACTAATTATGCTGTAGGCCCAGAAGAAATTTCCGCCGTAACAGGCATCTTCTTGCCCTTCTTTTTGGATCTATGCGATTCATTGTAGATGCAACCGTTTTTAAACTTCCACAAAAACTTAATCAGCTTTTATCACAATGTGAGAATTAGGAAAAGCACTTGAAAGATAGCTCTTTTCATAGAAAAAGCTTAACCGTCCTGGTAAAAGCCTAATTGACTCCAGTGGAAATGGCTGGAGAGTCACAGGCGAAGGAGTAAAAGTTGTGATACGAAATTTAAACATATATTATACGTAGCGTGGACTAGTGTTTTCCTTACACAGTTTGTCACCTGCCTTTTCAGCCAATGGTTTATGCACATCTTGGAGATCGATTCTTAAAGTTCTTTGCTTGAAACTGAGGCTCCTTCTGTTGCTTGAAACTGAGGCTCTTTCAATTGCTTTAGACTGAAAGCGTCTGCGCTTCTTGATGCCATTTGAGTTGCTTTCAGTTGATATTTTATCCTACCTATTTTATCTTAAAAATTCCCTAAAATGTCTACAAGACTCATGTTTTGTCGCTCTTCTCTTACAGCTATAGTGCATGCTGCGAGTTTCTACAGCAAAATAATCTGTTGTCAATTATACGTGCACACGAAGCTCAAGATGCGGGGTATGTATCTGCGTTCTCTGTTTAGTGATATAACTTATATTTTCTTCCGCGAAGAGTAGCCTCTTTATTACGGTCACGTGAGAAATATTTCTTGGTTGGATATAATTTCGTTTTGATAATTGACCTTGTATCCAGTAATAAGCTTTAGAAAGATGTTTCCTTGTCAACTTAGTCTGATTTCTCCTTTTGCAAATCCACCCGTTACTTGGCTGCTAATTATTTTGTTAAAACACCGGATCTGTGGTCTATAGATCAGGCCTTAATGTTTGATTTCACAGCAAACATGTGATATCTAAGTATGTGTAGATACCCAGTGAATTGTCGACCCAGGTATGTTTATGGACTCAAATATTAGCACGAAACTCCGTCAAATGGAGGCTGCGGATTTGTAGCTAATAAAGTTTGAAAGAAGAGGTCTTATTTGCGAAATGGCAGTTGTTGAGATTTTTATAGCTAATGAAGATGGGAAAACGATTACTACGATGCTGACGTCATGATATGGGAGTCCGGTTGTGTTTGGAAAATAGATTGGAGAATGTAGTATGGGAGAAAAAAATGGGATATTTTATGGGTTATGAATAAAAGCGAAGTTACCCTGTTGCGTTTCTTGGTTATAACCTAACTGCAAAACCTATTAACGAAGCTTTTGTTGTGAAAGTGTTGTAGATGAACAGATATGTACCTACGTGTACATCTTATTACTAAACTTAAAGTTTTCCAAAATATTTTGTTTCTTTTTGTTGTAACCCCGTGTAAAGCTATCAAGAAAACGCATTTGTCTTTCTAGTTATCGAATGTACCGTAAAAGTCAGACTACTGGTTTTCCGTCGTTAATCACAATCTTCTCAGCACCGAACTATTTGGATGTTTACAACAATAAAGGTATGCACGACTTAAGAGTTAGATTGTTGCCGTAAGTCTTATCTCAAACCAAACATATTCAAATTTAATCGGTTTTTGTGACTCGTATGTTGATCCGTTTATGAGATCACATCGATTGGACAGCGAATGCAAAGAGCCTTCCACCTGAGCCGGTGAGTCGAGCAGGTGTATGCAAGCTCAGAATAGATCGTTAGAATTTTATTGTAATTCGTCGTTGATGATGACTGCCCTGCAAAACAACAAAACCATCCATTTGCTTAAAGCTAATAAACCAGTTGTCCTGCTAATATGATTTGCCGTTTGATCTAAATTTAATTAGCTGGATGTCCCATGCTTCATCTGATCGAAGAATTGTGTTCAGTAACAATGTTTACCTTTCTCATTTTGTAAGGCCTTGCCAGATGTAGAATCAGGACTAGAAATTCAAACAGTCATATGTTTAATCATTGTTTTCTGTTTCTCTCCTAAACAAATTTAAAATACAGTTTACGGTAACATGAAATAGGAGTTGTGGCACGGGGGCCAAAGGAGCTTAAGCATGTTTCATAAGCTTTCAGTTAACCGGGGGTCTTCAGCGAATAACATTTCCGTCTCTCTTGGTTGAGCCCAGTAACATCGGCACTTTATAGATTCCTACTAAACTTTTACTTCAGTCAACTCTACCGCTAAAACAACTGGAGCAGCCATTTTGTTAGTTTTTGTCTTCCATCGCTTTTTAATGTTTTAAACAAAACAAATGGGAAGCAAATTACACCCCCCTCGCCCGCTCAAGTTCCCCTTCTGACCGCTATTTAGAAAAGTTTGGCGAAGTTCAGTAAAAAAAGATTAGTCGTGTTTTGCCACCATCGATCAACTTCGCTATACTTTGGAATTATTTAGTTGTATTTTCTTTCTTGTAGCTGCGGTTTTGAAGTATGAGAACAATGTTATGAACATCCGGCAGTTCAACTGTTCCCCTCACCCATACTGGTTGCCAAACTTCATGGATGTTTTTACCTGGTCCATTCCATTTGTAGGAGAGAAAGGTAATGTTATGCAATTTCAAACTTTTATTGCTTTGAAGCAAGGTCAAAACTTTTGTTGATACTAGCAAGCTCGTAAAATGGAAGAACAGCTTGTAAAGCAGTTTTATTTTGGTCTGCTCTTCTTCCTTGTTGTGACGGAGTTGTTGTGACATGCAAAATGCCCGGAAGAGGTATATCATGTTCTCGCAAGACTCAAGCAAACAGTTAATACTGGGTTTATACATGATAGCTCCTTGCAATGGGAGCCGCTTTTTAGGGGGGGGGGGGTTGGGTAAGGGGATGTTGCTTCCCTAAAATTGCAGGCGTTTGTCTTAAAAGGCAGTCTTAAAAGCACTGAATGTTCTTGAGACTTTGTTTACAAATTATTTTGCAATATTCCGCCGTAAACATACGGTTTTTTCTTCTTCTTTTTTTTCTGGACACATTCTTACGTTCTTATTTTTTGCAAACCCAGCCACGGTGAGTGTACCCTTATAAGCAGGAGTGTGATGTTATTTTATTCTAAGATTTGAACCCCTAATTCCTACTGTCATTCCTCTTTCCATAGTGACCGAGATGCTTGTTAATGTACTGAACATTTGCACCGATGAAGAGCTTACGTCTGATGAAGAAGACATCGATGAGCAAACCTCTGCAAAACGCAAAGAAATCATCAAAAACAAAATACGCGCTATTGGTAAAATGGCTAGAGTGTTTACAGTTCTCAGGTATGACCAATTACCTGCCATCGATGTACCGCTAACGTCAGCTTTCAATAATGAGTTCAGCTATCCCCCTCTCTCCCTTGGAACAATGTTTGTTTTCTATAAAACGTTGTAGGAGATTAGGAATTGTAGGGTATTTGTTATATTTTCTAAACTATCAACTTTGTCCTTGGGAGATAGGCGAGGGAATAGCTCAATAGCTGTATTCAGGAAAAGAGATGAAAAGCATAGATACACAGGGCAAGCTGCTAGGTTTTCCAAGTAATTTTGGAAGGAATTAAGTTTGTGATTATTAGCTGTTTTGTGGTACTAGCTTTCACTGGTAAAGATGCTCTAAGGGTATCGTTACATTTTCTTCTTGGAACTTTCTGCATATATATTTTCTAAAGATACTTTCTAGGCTATGTTATTCATCTGATTGATTCTGGCAGTATTACAGCCCTGCTTTGCACTAGAATTTTGGCTCATTTTTTAAAGATTAGATGTTCAAGTAATGTAATAAAGTTATTCAATGCCAGTGGTTTGGTAATGTGAATCGTAAAATTAAGGAGGTAGCATCCTGCCTCATTTTAAGTGCAGTCTTGAATGCCTTTTGAACAATCAACAATCGTTTTCACTTACGTATAGAAGTAGTAGAGTTATAGGTAAAGAATAGTTGCATGATGATTCCATTACGCGGAGTTGTAACTTAGAACGTTCCTGTTCTATACGACTTTGCGTGTAGGGAAAGAAATATTCCTGACCTTGAACTCGCCACAAAATGCATTCATACTTCATACTTTAGATGTTCGTTGGTAGCCACCTGCCTTGGTAATCTCCTAATCAATTTATTTCTTTCATGAAATATCGAAATCGATCGTCTCAATAGACTTATGTTTAAATTTCTGATGATGTAAATTATATCTTACGTTTCCAATTAAATGCAACCTTTTTGAAACAATACTGCTTGTTGGATAAGTTAATTTAGGACTTTATCCCAAGAACTTAATCTTGTCCCAAAAGCCTATATTCTCTTATAGATTTTCTCTTGCTTCGATTAAAACTAATCTTCAAACATAGTTCTCAGATATCACATTCATGGATCTCAGTCAGAAAAAATACAACTGTTTTTGTAGTCTAATGTGCTGTTTGCCTGTTTCAGAGAAGAGAGTGAGAGCATCCTGCAGCTGAAAGGTCTAACGCCATCAGGTGCTCTCCCAGCTGGTCTTCTAGCAGGAGGCAAGGACTCTCTTTATTCCGGTAAGCCAGTTTTTTCCCACCATGCCGTGCGTGGGTGTTTGACGCCGTCGCCCTTTTTTATAGCGAAGTCGTCAGTTAGTTTTTTCGTTAGGGTTAGAGGTACTAGGGCTGTCCTTCTTTGGGATTTCCTATTCGGTTATTCGGTCTAAAATTTAACGAATGTTCAGTAATTCGGCGAATATGGGCGTGGCACAATTGGTCTGCCAGGGTGGTGGTGAAAAAACTACCATCTGAAAATGCGTTTTTATTTCATGGAAGTAACCAACCATCGATTACACAGAACTATTAATGACATTTCCATTCGGTTCCCTTTTGATTCATTGACGTAATGTTTTACCTAATTTCGTGGGTAAAACATTATAGTGGGCAACAATTTTAATGACAAACTTGATGCACTGTAAGCTACAAGACACACAGTCTAAGCAAACAATAATCTTGTTCGGGTTTTCTTTTGTCAAAGGCAAAAATCAGCTTTCTAGCAAGTTGGGTTGTAGAATTTGCCCTAGGATCAGTTAATAACCCCCTTTTATCCACTCTTGACTTCAACTCTACAATTGCGCCTAATTCTCGTTAACACTTAGAGTCAATTTAAAATATTTCTTGTTAGATAAGGACCCTATTACTACGAAATAGTTTCGCCTCACGAAAATGAAATCTGCCTTTCAACAAAAAGGTTGTTTGGCATTTATCGCAGATTTTTTTGGAAGCTTCTCATATTGTTGACAATATAAATCCATTTTTTTGACAACTTTTATTGCCATTATTATAGTTTTTCTAGTCATTATTGTTATTTAGTTTTTGCTTTTCTCCCCGTTCATTTATTTTCAATTATTAAAGAATCTTAAGTTTAGTTTCCAAATCTGCTAGATGGAAGGACGACCGTGCTCTTCCAATTTTCTGAAACATGTTGTCGAGAAGAGCAGCCTCATCGATCTTGTAGGTCTAGAAACACTGTAAAAACAAGTGACTCTGCCAACGGTCAACATCTTTTAGACAACCCAGATTGTGTCAAACTCTATAATGACGACATGTTTCGCAATTGGCAGAGCCCGGTCGTCCTTCCATCTAGCAGTTTAGGAGTCGATCTACATACAAACGAAAAAGCCGCCATTGTGTGGACAGAAGGAGTTCGTTTTCTCTCTTGGTCTCCAAGGGTAATTTTCCAAATCTCTTCTAAACCTCATCAAAATCCCATCGAGACCTTATAGAATATATCAAGTCAAGTTAAGTAAAATTTTGTTGAACTTTAAAAGCAATTTTAACAGATTGTCATGCTGTAAGACTTAATTATTTATTATTACTCCCAGCTTTAACTGAACTAGCACCAAATCACAAAATTGCTGGATTCGATGAGGCAAAGAGTCTGGATCGAGCAAACGAACGCATGCCGCCAAGGAAGCAGTCGCTGGAACGCAGCAGCTTGCCAAGTAAAAACAAAATTGGTAAAGTTTGACGCATGGACTTAAGCTTATGAAAACATTAAATTTTAGTCAACTTTCACAGATAAAATGGCAGGAGATTGTGTTAAAAGAAAAGCAAGGACTCCTGGTTATAAAAATGTCCCGGACAGGTCTACAACGCAGCTACAGATTGTATTGAGATGGGTAGATGTGCAGCGTCCTATGCCTGTCTGTCGGTAAAATGGCCATTATTTATTATCCATGCATATACAGTCCTTTTATCGTGTAAGAATCTTGGCCATTTGCTTGAATGGCTGCTTTCTAATAGTTTTTATTGAACTGTCATTGTTGTCTGCAGATTGTTCCAGAGGTGTATCTTGTTTCTTTTGCTTCAAAAATTTAACAAGACTTAATGCCAATTTTGGTTATAAGCATCAATTTTCAGTAAATGATATATCTTGTGTTCCTTTGCCTCCGATAATGCGCTTGCCAACATCCTAAGCGCGTACCTACATTCTTACTAGAACTGGCCACTTTAGACATCAGTAGAGCCAGGGACAGCAAGAGTGTAGCAAGTCTTTGGTAATAGCGCTATTAACTTTAATGCATACCAACTAACTGTATTATGGAAAGTTAAAGTTTTTATTATTCATTTACAGTCAAGATAGGTGTAGTGTTCTAGACTCTTTTTTCGTTTTGCTCTGATTTATCTACTCCTTAGGTGTGGAATTAAGTAATTTACCTAACACAATTATTCCCTTTATCTATTTCACCATCATAACTTTGTACCATTAGATTATGGTTTTTTATCTGTTGATACTTCGTTGTAATTCTGTCCTGTAATTGTACTCTCAACATCATCAATGTTTCGCGGATCTGTTTTCATGGAGCAATGTGCACCTCTGGATTGAACTGTGATTAAGGGTTGCATGTTTTTGGTTGAAACATTCGCTTTCAAATGTTTTTAATGTTTAAAGAATGCTTGGATACAATAGCTTTGAATACGGTGATCCCAATTCTTCAAAATCCATATTGAATTTTAAAAGTTTAGTTAGTTGTACACTTGAAACCATTCACGGATGCGTTTTCATTTTTTCAAATACGTTAGGGCCTATGTACCTGGCCTTAGGTGGTAATGTACTCTACTTATATAACTTGTTTAAAAATGCTTACTTACGTATTGATTCCTGTACCGTTTCTAGTTTTGCGTTTACATGAAGGGTTATTTTGCTTTTGATTTCGGTGGGATTATCCTTCTTCAGGTAAATTAAGGTTGGCGATTGAAGTGTTCTCAGTTTTTAAGGCGTCAGAAACAAAAAGCAGATATCATCATTTTTTCTCTCGTGTAAAGAGTAGGCTTATCACTTGACACAAGCATAGAATTGTTGTGGCAATGGCATCTTCTACTATTTACTGGAGTTACAACATCTTATGTGAAAATTGTTAAGTTACTATATTTAAAGCACCCTAGCTTGATCACAACCTGTTAGAGACTTCTTTCAAATAATCTAAAAAAGCTTTTAAAATTGAACTAAATGGCCAGGTTTCTATCTGTCTATAATAATTTCGTTTTTCAATGTAATGATTATTTTAAGACGACGTTATAGAGAATCATATCAATAAGAGTGACTCAAATTCTACGCCAACCTCCCTTTCAACAATTTCTAGATAATAATTTTTTCCCTTTTTCTCAATATCCAAGTTAGTTTCTTGATTGCAAATTTTGACCGTTGATTAGACGTCAGTAAAATGGCAGTTGCATGTAAAGCACGCTTCGCAGGTATTTGGCAGGAGGAAGATGATTAAGAACAAGTAATTTTGCTTTATGGATATTTCTCAAAAATTGCTGCTAGATCGTCCCTTTTCTGCCTCCAAAGTCTTAAATATTACATGAGATACATAGTGTATGTATGGAAGCATCTTTAAAGCAAGTAAACCTAAAATCCTGTTTTCCTGAACCTGTCAACCAGTGTACAGCTGTGTACGCTTTGCGGATAACTAACCCGCCTCCCCCCCCCCTTAACACATGTAAACAATGTAATTTGCCCATGAATGAAAAGAAGGACAATATTTATGTGTCTGTGATTTCCAGATGCACTTGTTTAGTTCACTTTTCGTTAACTTGCTATCCAGGCATTTTTTTTTAATTTAAGAAATTAAAACGTTAAGGCTATGCAACAGCTACTTCATATGGTGCCATTCATAGAGGGAAAAGACACAGGGTCATCAAGTTACCTCTATAAATGGCACTTACACTATATTTAACCATTTTGTCACTCAAGCCAACAAAGGGGCAAGGAACAAACCAAAAAAAGTTATTCAAGTTATTTAACCAAAAAAAATATAATAATAAAAAATATATATGGGGTAACTGCACTCAGTCAAATCGTTTTGTTTCTTTAAGAAAGGATATTGTAGCTTCCATAATTATTCTGTTAGCAAATACGTTCAAGAATGTACATTCATACAGAAGCAGTGTGCATAAGGATTTTGAATCATATGAAATGTCTAAACCAGGAATTTCCGAGAGTTGACCAAGGAGATCACAACGCATTATGTCGTACAATGGGCAATGCAGGAGAAAATGTTCATTATCTTATTTTGCTGTTCCACAAACGCAAACAGGCATCTTAATAGCCAGGCATCTTAACAGCTAGAGTAGGGTTATCCTTGAATCTCCTCTTTACTGAATGCAGCACTATGCCTTTGTGAAATTAACCCTCCCCGTCCCCATCTTGGCCTTTGTTTTGGATCGATATCCGCGAAACCCACATTCCACACTGCCTTGATATCTGATCGATTTGCGTCGTAGTGCTGGGACACTGTTGTTATCTATTTTTAGCTGAAGCATTACGGCTAAATACAAAATGGCGTTCGGTTATTTGATTGAAAGTGTTTTGTCACTGATAAAAATATTACAGATTTTATAAGGCCCATCAGAAGAGTCATTAAGTAGCATTGTGAAACGTGGCAAGATCGAGTTTTCGTCAAATTCCAATAACATAATTAGCACTTGACATAATAAATAGATTGCTAGGTTAAAACCATAGAAATATGGTTAAAACGAAACGACTGCATATTTGCCAGAGAGTGCAAAAGGCAAAATCCGTAGGTTTCGAACACGAGCTGGAATGAAACTTTTAAATATACCCACAAACAGTATATCCAAGTGTAGTACCTGTAATATATTCTAATGATAAAAGTTAACCCTCAGGAAGAACGTTCATATTTCAGTGGTGAGTATGATATTGCGAACTTATAACTACAACAAAAACGGCGTAAACAACTTGACTGAAGGTGTCAAATTTTATTGTCCTATTGAATTAAAACACAATATATGACAATATACCCACAAAGTAAACTGCGTATCCAAATTTAGTACCTACCACCAAAAAATGGTGGGTATGGTTCACAAATTTAGGTTACTAATAGACAAAATATTTAAAATAATTTTACCTTAGTTATTTCTGCGTTAAGAAAGAACAGTTTCAAAGAAAATGCTAGTAGACACAAAGTTTTGTATCTAATTTTGAATACTGCGAAAATGTGCAACAAGAAAATGTGCTGAAATAACTTCATCCCATAAACAATGTTCATACCAAAGACAAGTAAAACTCGTGAAAGAGAATAGGATGGCGTTGCATTTCACTCTAAAACGTCTTCAAAGCACCCCCTTCACTGTTACCCCTCCACTTTCACCTCTTTGACCCTCGCCACTTTCTCCTGTGGCAGTAACAGCCCTCTGGAATTCACACAGTTTGGGAAAAGATTTCACGTTTCAAAATTTCAAAAAAACTAATAGACATCAAATTTTGAAACGTGAAATCTTTTCCCAAACTGTGTGAATTCCAGAGGGCTGTTACTGCCACAGGAGAAAGTGGCGAGGGTCAAAGAGGTGAAAGTGGAGGGGTAACAGTGAAGGGGGTGCTTTGAAGACGTTTTAGAGTGAAATGCAACGCCATCCTATTCTCTTTCACGAGTTTTACTTGTCTTTGGTATGAACATTGTTTATGGGATGAAGTTATTTCAGCACATTTTCTTGTTGCACATTTTCGCAGTATTCAAAATTAGATACAAAACTTTGTGTCTACTAGCATTTTCTTTGAAACTGTTCTTTCTTAACGCAGAAATAACTAAGGTAAAATTATTTTAAATATTAAAGCTGTTACCTGGAAGGAATGCAATATGCTTCAGTGAAGGAGCACTTTGATGACTAATCACATGAAGTACTTTGAATTTTCTTTCTTTTTCAACTTGAATGAAAGTGGAGGCATCGAGTTTGCCCAGCTTTGTCGCACACACTGGTGACGTACGTAAGTTCCTTTTTCTTTCACTGTAGTCTTTGTAATTATTTTATTGTTGATGTTATTTTCGTATCTGATAATTTATTTCATGAGCTAACTGTGATTCAGATTTAGTCGTGATTTCTTTGGTTCTTTTGTGTTTTCCATGTTTCGAGAATATTTTCCCAATAACTAAACAATTCGTGGCAACAATAAATCATTTGTTATTTACTAAGAGCATTCTGGATGTTTGCGGTGTTTTTGCTGATATTTGGAAATTTTATCTGTGGTGTTATATGATATATAAACAAGGCCTAAAACTAAAAGTACTGGTTTAATAAGTAAGTATAATGTTTATTTGTCAAATCCAAGGCTATAGAGTATGTCTACCATTTTTGCTGAGATCTCGGGCATTCCATGACCACAAGGATAGCTAAACTACAAAAACTATAAGGAGAGAGTTGATGACTAATAATATTGAGATGAATCTGATTTTCTATGAACAACAATCAAAGGCTATTCTCTGTTCTGGGCAATTTTTTATCTTCATATTTGCCCTAAATGGATCATAGAAGCTTACCAGTTGTTGTTGTGTATATAGACACCTAATTCGCAAGCTCTCAGGAGAATTATCTTAAACTTTGAAAAATCACTGCTACTGTTCCGAATAGGAATACTGTTTGGTAGATATAAGTCTGGTGTTTCAGCTGATTGGAAAGTAGTAAATCTGGAATGGATATGCTTGATACAAAAGACAAAGAATGGTTGGCAACCTTAGGCCACTCAGGCCATATCTCGAACAATAAAGGAAGAACTCACAGAAAAGAAACCACACTGATACAGTGGCTCCTATTACTATCTGGTGACATATTGTTGAATCCAGGACCAGTGAAATACCCATGTAAAGTCTGCCTGAAAAATGTGAGGCAGAACCAGAAAGGTATTTGCTGTGATAAGTGTGAAAAATGGTTGCATGCACGCTATATAGGTATGGACAACATGACATATGATTACCATACAGAGAATGATACAACATGGTACTGTGACGTGTGGTCATTTCATATGACCAACACAAACATTGGACAAGTACATATACTGCAAAAGACCAAGATCAGCATGTACATATCACACATGAACCCACAGAACAAGAACCCACAACAAAAGGCAAGAATTTCATGAAGATAGGCCACTTCAATGTCAATGGACTGACTGAAAAGTTTGCAGATATCCAGCTTTTATTACCAGATAACAATTTAGATATCCTAGAAATAACAGAAACACATCCAACAGGTGAAACCGACGATAAAGACCTCATGATTGAAGGATATACTTTTATAAGAAGAGAAAGAACTGTCAAAGAACCAATAAATGGGCCAAAAGGGAATGGTGGCTGCCTATTGTATGTAAAGGAAACAATTAAGGTGGTTCCAATGAATGAAAAATTTGAAGAGTACATTGGAGCCATATGGATTGAAATCTGCATTCATTCACAGAGAATGATGATATGAACATCCAAAAGTATAGGCATCCAAAAGACCTTGGATTTTGCAAAAGGCTAGACAAAATCTTAGAAATCATTCTAACAAGAAGGAAAAATCTTCTCTAATTGGAGATTTGAACCAGGGGCGGACACTTGATCAAATATTGGGGGCAAGCCTATTGTTTTAATAAGATGACATCACATTTCCTATTGTTTTAGAACAAAAGACTATTGTCCTCTAAGGTATTGGGGGTGGTTGCCCCCTCTTGCCCCCCCAAGTGTCCGCCATTGATTTGAACTCCGATTTAAACAAGAAAGGGGGCCATTCTGAGGACAAGGTCTTTGAGAAAAGGTTAGTCAACATTTTAAAAAGTCAAAACATCATCAAAGAACCTACCAGAATTACCCAAAAGACAAAGAAATTAATTGATGTTTACTCACAAGCAAGAAAGAGCTGATTCAAGAGTCATGAGATATGCATTTGTGCATTTCTGACCACAGTCTAATTTATGGTGCCTATAAAATCTTGGTTGAAGAAAAAACCGGTTTTCAAAAAAGTAAAGAATTTTAGAGGAATCAATTTGGCTGCTTTCAGTAAGGATTTGGAAAATGCACCTTGATCAATATGTTCAGTTTTTAAAGACTTTGATGATCATGTATGGGCATGGGAGAAATTATACAAAGATATAGTTAATGAGCATATATTTACAAGACAAGTGAAGATCAGGAAAAATTGCTTCCCTGGATAACTAGAGATATATCAGAGATGCAAGGCACTAGAAAAGTTTAGGAAGACAAAGGAAACTGATGACTGGAATAGCTATAAAACTCTATGTAGCAGAGTTAGAAAAGAAATTAGAAAAGCACAAGCTAATTATCGGATCCACTGTATGTCTGAGGCTAAAGATCACAAACAGTTCTGAAAATTGTACAAAGATATGACAAACATGAACAAAAAACCAAGAATAGGTGCATTACAGGTGCAAGATAAAGTTGTACACACTGACAAAGGAAAAGCAGAAGCCCTAAATGAATTCTTTGTCAGCATAGGGAAAGATCTAGAAAAGAATTTCTCAACTGAAGATAAAGAAAATAATCATAGTTTCATTAGTAGAGTAACGCCATTTTTTGATAGCATAAGTCTATGCCTGTCAAAGGACATTGAGATGAAATGCAGCAGACTTGATCCAAATAAAGCATGTGGAGCTGATAATATCACAACCAGAGAATTAAAGCTTGGACAACAACCAATTTGTGTAAGCATAAGTTCAATTGCAAACAAAGCCTTGGAAACAAAAACATACCCTAGTAAATGGAAGGTTTCAATAGAGTGAATGCAGATTTCAAGAAAGGTATCTCTAAAGACAGGGGTAACTATCGGCCATTATCTCTGTTGAGTGTGCCAAGCAAGTTGGTTGAGGATGTCATTGGTAAAGGCCTAGGTAAAAAATTGCCAAAATAGGCAGTGCAACTGCCAATTAATTGGGTGACAAGAAAGGTATCAGTTATGAGACCTTGCTTCTCTACTTGATAGAGAAGTGGAAGATTGCTCTTGATGGCAAGAAAGTAATAGGTGCCCTGTTTAAAGTCTTTAGAAAAGCATTTTGACACTGTCTGTCATAGCATACTGAATCACAAGCTGCAAGCTATTGGTGTATCAGAGTCAATAAATGAGCTGCTGATGAATTACTCAAAAGACAGGAGCTAGTATGTTGAGTTGAATGGCGAAAAATCAGAACTGAGACCAGTAGATATAGAGGTCCCACAAGGGTCAATATCTGCTTGATGAGCATAATATTCTCAGTGTCCTAAAAACTACCTTCAGATTTTAAGTAAAACTAACACACACAAAATAAAAACACTGAATACAAGTCCCCAGGTTCATCATAAATTTGTGTTAATAGAACATTTCCTACATTTGTCTTGAGCGCAATAGTTTAAGGTTAGGCACTTCACTTCTTCTAAGGAAGTGCTTCCCTTAGTGTATATAGGATTCTCATGAATCAATACACAATGAGTCATTTGAGAGCAACTATAGCCCAACAATAGAAGGTTGTCATGGTTATAGTTTACCAAAAAATTGTTAATATTAGGAAGACTAAGTGTACAAGATCATGGTTTTAATATGTTTTAGCTTTGATTGTAAGTTTTCACTGACTCAAGTGGCATTAAGACCTCTTTCTGAATAAATGTTTGTATACGTTTTACTACCATAATTACATGAAATTTAAATTGCAAAAATGTAGTGTAATCGCACAAATCTGACATAATACTCTTTGCATCCTGGCATTTTCTTATTTTTTCTGCTTTGAAATATTTTGATCATTAGCGAACAATGGTGAATTTTGAGTTTTTGGGCAGGCTATTTGATAATACCCAATGAAAATTGTCCTAACATTTTCATGTTTAGATTTCTTTCCTTCCAAAACCATTACATTGAAGCTGCACTCAGATGAATATCCTTTAATACTATTCTTTATCCCTCATATTCCAGGGTTGTTTTTTGCCAAATTTATGGCTGCAAGTAGCTACATTCAGATTGTTTAATAAGTTATAGGGTGCACTTTACACAATAGATTGCAAAAGCCTTGGTACTGCTAACAAGAAATGCAGAGGAATACAGGCATACCAGCAACTGAAGCATATTTGTATAACTGCTACCCCAAATATCACAGAAGAGAAAAAGTGCTTTGATAAAAACCTAATAGTATTTTATCATAAGGGATATTAACTTAAGGGATATTCTTAAAAGGAACTCTAACTTACGGGATATTGTGCTCTTTTTGTACATTTCAAAACATTTTACTGTCTTTCATAGTTGCAATAAAGCTAGCCTGCATTTAATGTAGGAAAGAAAAGAGAAGCTTATATTGAACTAGCTCTCAGATAAACATGATATCACTTAACTTAAAGGCATTGAGTCATGATAAATAGACTGGGTATACCCTAAGTGCCAAAATCCGCTGAGTCATGATTTCCATGACTGCGATGCTATTGGTTGACCTTGAACTGGTCACATGAACTCACCTTGTACTGATTAACATAACAGTTTCCATCAATAGCAAGTTGTCAACAACGGATGCCAATATCACATGAAACAGCAGCGATCACGCCGAAACCAAATGACCCCCTATAGAGAAAGCCTATTTACCATGACTCAATGCCTTAAATGTGTGGTTTTGTTGTTATCTAGTCACTTACAATACCTTGTTAGGAAAGAGGGTTTTTGCTAGGATTTGGAATGAAAAATTTGAATAAAACCAACTTTATTGCAAATTGTGTAAGAAATGTGTGATGTGTATGAGCATGAGAAAAGACCAAAATGTATCTGATTAATGGAAGCATAAAATTAAGTGGCAAGAAGATGTGAAACACTGAAAATATACTTATTTTGTATAAGAAGCCATATAAGAAGCCATTTATTATCATTAGAAGCTCTAGGCAATAGCTGTAGAGCAACTAAAATAAAAGAAATTGTTTCTGTTTTGTTACTTAAAAGTTTCCTTAAATAAGATATTTGAAAAAATGATTGAATTTGTTGTTTTTTTGCCATACACCCCAATCAGAAGGTAGCAATTCATGAAATAGGGATCAGTATGCATATTGACTGAAGTAAGAACATACAGATTGTATATTGGATCAATTTCAAATAGTATTAGTACAGGCTTTTTATTGTAGCAGTTTTATCGGAGGGCAGTCTAAAAGGAAATCTATTGCTCATTATAGTTACTCTATCACCTTTCTTTCAGTTGATATTTTTCATACCATGGCAAGAGGTCAGCAAAAGATTCAATCTCAACAGAAAAATGCTGAGAAAAGAGCTAAGTCAAAGAAAGGCACAAGTCAAATAAAGTCAGCAGGGGCTGCACTTGTTCACAGTTGCCCAGTGTGCAAGGTACCTAATATTTTCGCAATTCCCTTTTTTATTGTCAACAGTACCACTGATAACAATCTGAGGAATGAAAAAAAGACACTGTAACCTGGCAAGCCAAATTCAAATTTCCTGAAACTAGTGAGAATAATATTAGAATTTGGAAGAGAAGAGTTTATTTCCATTTTAAGATTATGGTATTTTTTCATCTGTTTTTTTAAATTACCACTGGTATTTACACTTTGCTGAACACCTCAAAGAGGCTTGTAGTAATGAAACCCACCAAGTTTGTGGTTCCTGAATCAGTTTTTGATCTCAAAAATTAAGGCGAATGATAAAATATGTGCATAATTGGTGTTGGATGTGCAAATATTCCTTGTTTGCATAAACAATTCCAGATTAAGGATTTGCAGATTTTAAAATCCTGGTGCATTTCCATAAACCAAAGGTTCTTTTTTAAATGGTAGTGAAATTCAATTAACTTCGGTTAAACATATGCAAACTTTATTATACTTGTCACTAATTAAGAGATTCATTCTGTGTTTTACAAAGCAAATTTTTGTTGTAAAACAAAGTGACAGACCTTTTATATCAATTTATATTAAGAGATTTCTTAGGCAAATTTGAGCAGGATTGTACTGGATGACTTAGCTAATTGGGATAAGTTTGATCAGCTTGAACTTTGAAGGCTGATAGTATACAAGTTCACCAAATGTGCATTCCTTTGCCCTCCCACCTTCAAAGCAAGAACACTTATTTTTTTCATAATTCTGTACCCTGTTTCTTCATATTTTTTGTGTAGCTTTCTTAAGGTTAAGAATCAATGTTTTATTGTTCCCAGTCACAGATGCCAGACCCAAAAACCTACAAACAGCATTTTGAAAGCAAACATCCAAAAGTTGATCTTCCTGAAGAACTCAAGTCAGTTTGAGGAAAAAGAAGGAAGATTATGGTAAGAATCTTTATGGCAGCTACATTCTCTTTTCAAAACAAATGATTCAAAGGCTAAAAGAGACAAGTAACTTACTGATGAAAAAAGATGACCTTAACAATGTTATAAACAAAGAAATATATACAGCCCCTTACATTAAACTGTTCACCAAATTTCACCATATCAGCCACTTTCTGATTTGCCACTTTCAAAGGATACCTCACCAATACCTGTTTGTTTCTTATTTCAGAAGCAACTGGAGAAAGAGAAAATGAAGACTGTCTTTCTTTTGCTTGGTTATCTAAAAGTCAATACTGTGAACAAATTGATAATTTATGACCTTATGAACAAGAAACATTTAACTCTTGTGTTGAACATGAGCTTGGAAGTACCACCTCGGTTTAACAAAAGTTACTTGCTTGGTTAAAAACCCTTAAGGAAAGCTTTCTTCTTTTATATTCAGCCAATAAAAAAAAGAATAACAAGCTTCACCTGTCCCAATGCAAAGTCATTGAAAAGCAAAATGCCAAACTGTGTTTACTGGATCTCCATTTGCAGGATGGTACTGTTTCTAAATCAATGATGAATTAAATTGAGGAATTGTGTACCTGTGAGACAGCCTCAATAAATAAATGAATTTAATATCACTCTTAAAACATTGATCATCAACTTTTTGTTCTCCACCTCTTTTTGAAATTTTTGCTGCAATTAAATGTGCCATATGAAGCCTTTATAAATTCCACTGCTTGATCCAGAGGCTCTCAGTGCCCCTACACATTCTTTTAGCTTCATTTTTCAAAACCTGTTCTCTCTTCTGTCTTACTTTTTGCAAACTGGATTGAATGAGGAAATTATAATAAGCAAAATGTTTTTTCATAGCTGCAATGTTACTTGGGGACAATTGTCACCCTGTGATCAACAAATATCATCCTTAAGAATAATATCTTCCCTTAGAAAAAGTCACATAATGTGTAAGGCAATGCTAGGAATCATATTTTTGTTGCAGATGTTATTTCATGGCTGTGTTTGCTAGTTCTGGATATCAACTGTTACATTGGTGCCTTGTGTGAGATTAATACCAAGCTGATTATAAATATAGTTGTGTATAGGGCAGGGATGGCCAGCATTATTTACCTGAGGGCTAACTTTGAGGTGTTTAACATTTTTGTGAATCAGGCTTGGCCTGGAAAGGTTGAACAAATATACATATGAACAACTTCATTAGTTTTTGTTCCTGGTGCTAGATCTAGAAAGCTACTTCATTTCTGGATCAAGAAGTTTTTCGTTAAGCTCTATGTAGGGAGTCATTTTGATTACTTTCTAATTTTCTGAACAAGTGAACACTCTTTTTCTATCTGTTTGATTAGAAAGCTATTTGTGGTGTTCATTCATCTTAAAGAGTGAGATGCCATTATATTAAGTGACTATCACTGCAAATAATCATTTCTCCAAGTCAGAATCAGACCTGCCAAGTCTTGTTACATTTTGTGTGAGTTCCGCGCATTTTAGAAGCAAGAGGCAATAGAAAGGACATTAACAATGTAACTAATTAGGTAAAACAATAGATCTCATGCATCTGGGAACATAAATTTGACAGCTATGCAGAATGTCACTGAATGACAGATAACTGTTTAATCAAAGTTTTTCTATTTTTCCTGGAAGACCAATGTGTCTTTTCGCAAGAAAGCAAATTGATGCTGCAAGAAAGCAAAAAAAAGAATCTCTGAGCAAAAGATTTAATAGATATAGAAAATGAGCCGAAGAAATGATGACATTTCTCATAATTTGTAAAATTAATCCTTATGCCAAGAGTTAGTCAATTTTCATGATACCTATAGAAGGTCGAAATAAAATGGCAGTTAGTAGAAGCAATTATTGTTCGGGAGACAAAACCTTAAGTCTTCAGACCTTTGTTTCGAAACAATACCGTCTTAAACCAACCAGTGTTGTAGGGTCATAGCAGTATTCGCAAGTATTCGGAAGCTGTTTTGTCTGGGACCACACAACTTCCCGTCAGTGCTCCAAGTGATAATGCGCGTGTGCAATGACGCTGAAACGGGGGCTAGTGCATGTTGTGCATGTCTGGAAGACGGGCATGATTCATCTCCCAAACAAATTAGCACTCAAGCCCTTGGTCGTTTCGACGTCCCTGGGGAGGTGACCCATTCTGTCTATAACCATGGTCGCAATCAGTAATATATTTTTAGAAACTAAAGTATAAAGGCAATATATCTTGCAATTTGCACGAAAGTAGGAATATTTCTGAGATTCTCGAACAAATCTAGTCCTACAATTCTTGCGGTTCTTGGAAAGGTTAGTGCCACGGCAGCGAGGCTTTTCTATAATGGTTGCTCAAAGAATTTACGGAAGTAGCAACGGAAAATTGCCGCTTGCATGAACCTCAGGTGTCTAATGAAAGCGACAATAAAGATAAGTGTCCAAACTTTGACGGCTGAACCAGCCTCGCAATTGTTTTTAAGAAGATGGAAGATGGTTGATTCGGAAGACATATTCTACCTCGTGGATACAAATCGAAACAATTTAGGGAAATGGCTTCCTTGGGTTAAAAACACCAATTCAGTTGAAGATTCCATGGAATTTGTGGGAAAAAGTATTGAAGAGTTCGAAAAAGGTAACAGATTCGAGTATGGTTTGTACCTTGAAAATGATAACGATCAAACTAAGGGGAATTTGATCGGTGCAGTTGGATTGGTCAGTGTTGAAAAAGATGAAGCGGAGATTGGATACTGGCTTTCAAAACAAAGAGAGGGAAAAGGATTTATGGTGACAGCAGTAAAGGAATTGATTAATGAGAGTCAGCAGGTGCTTGGCCTAACGAAGTTTGTCATAAAGACGGTAGAAAATAACTTGAAGAGCAGAAGGATACCAGAAAAACTTGGCTTCGTCGAGACGGGTTTCTCCAAAGAACAAGTTATACTAGATGATGTTCCTAGAAAATTAACAGTTTACCAGCTGGTTTTAGATCAAGATTTAAATAGCTGTACCAATGACTGAAACTCCATTCGATTGATAACAGTTATCACGGAGCCTTATGCAAACCTTGCATCGAGAAGCTTTTTCTTTATGAAAGTATTTGAAAAAATACCCATCGAAATTTGTTAATCATATCTGTCTACAAATAGATTGAACTGATCCTTTATCTTTCTATTACTAACCAGAAAGAAGGTTTTTAGGGAAATCAGGGCTATTGGCGAAGAAGCAAATCTTTTGAAAGTGATAAAATGCAAATATCTTATACCAGAGCCTCATAAATCCGGGGCTAAAGTATTTTTTTGCTCAAAAAATATTTCTGACTACGTTCTAACCATATTTTTTAAAATAAATAATGGAGACTCTGGTACTCAGGGTATCGATATAGATAATCCCTTCCATAGTTTTATCCACCAGAAGAGTTTAAAAAAATGTGTAAGGAAGGAACATTTTAGAGACAGCATCTTTTATTTTTTTATGTTAAAGAAATGTTCAATTTTCGACCTCTAAGTGCCACACTCTTATATTTAATTATTTTCCCGTCTGCAAATATGAAGGGGCCAAAGCTTTTTGGTAACCTGGAGTTTGACCCAAAAAGAGGAAGGAAAGGATTGACTTTTTGATAATGCCTGAAAAGGGAAAGGGAGGGAGGGGGTCATAAAAATTCACTTTTTAAATGTTGTTGTTAATCTGCCTGTGTTTTTTAACTGATCTCTTACCCATTAATTATTGCAAAGAAATGACTGATGAATGAAAGTTTACTTTGTTCTAAGAGCGTATGTGAAAGATGATATGTGTTTTGGGACTTTAGGGGTAAAGATAATCCTCTGAAAGTTTAACGGGGCGTCAGTAAAGCGGCCCTTGTCATCACTAGAATGGTAAAATTTGATAAGATCAGGGCCTCTTTTAATATACTAACTAGGGGGGCAATTGCCCCTGCAGCCCCAGTGACTTTCCATTGTTTCAAACAATAGGCGATTTTCTTCGCAGCTAATTTCTCTTGAAAAGGTTTTGGATTAGATAAATAACAAATTGATTAAAAGTGTCACAGTTACAAAACAATTTGGTGTGAAAATAAAGAATATGTGCTTTATTGTCATGTCCTGTTTTTCAATACAATTGTCTCTAGTTATGAGGTTATAAGGATGCACGAAAATTTTGAAGATTCCTTCAAATGACACATTTCTAAAAGAGTTGGTCTCCAAGGAGGCAATTCAAAACTCCACCGCATTTTACAATAGATGAATAGTTCAGAAGTGGTTTAGATGGTAACGAGAACAAAGGCTGCTAAGGGCAATGGATGTCGAGATTATTGTGTTTCAAAGGAGATCTCTAATAAGCTTGACAGTGAATTTCTTAGTTCATGCGTGTGGACAATACGAAGGAATTTCAAGTCTCAATAGAAATAAATGAAACGCTTCAGAGGGCAAGAGTGAATCTCATATTTTTTTGACAAGCAAATAGACAAGGGTGTTACCTTATCATCGAGGACGATTTCTACGATCTTTGATTTACCAAAAGGTGCAAGCAAATCCAGACATCATAATGGTAGCTGAATCAGAGTCGTCGAAGGTCAGTAACCATTACGGTACATTATTATATTACCCATCTTTTTATTTCAAATATCATCTAGGCCACAAAGAAAGGTGAAACTCCAACACATTATGGTTAAAATTACTACCATGCTATACTGATTTACTTTCTTTATTCATCAACTTATACTCTGCCTAAAAATCTACCCTCAATGTGCCCCGAATTAACGTCGTGACCCCGCGTTTTAATTTTTCGAAAGGAAGGTATCGCACCGAAAACAAGATCAAATGTTAAAACATTATTAAGAACTAAATATCTTCTTAATACTGTTATGTTACAAATACGTTTCTTTACTATTTTAAGTAAATGCACAAGGAACTGTTTTGTTTTTTATTCATTCTGTTTCCAATTTAAAGAGACTGTTGTGACAGCCATGCATCATTTACTTTCATTTGGGACGTTCGTAATTTTCAGACCTCATTTCCACCCAGCCCCCCGTTTATTGGGATTTGGGTTATTTTACAACCACACACCCAGCCACCCTTGTCTATTCCGAACACCGGAGTACATGTTCGTGTTTTCGTTCATGGCATTTTTTGATCGGGCTTTGTACATGATCACTCTAAACAAATTTCATTCTTCTCCTTTCTTGACAAGTTCATTCTTATATTGGCACTAAAGAAAACGGTTCCAGCTCGCATTATCTTCTATACCTCATTTATATCAATCTCTGCTTAAAGCAAAAATTTTATATTTTGTAAATTGTTTATATATGCGTAGCATCAGAAATAATTGCACGAACCGTTATGTTGTGAAAGATTTACCTCAAAACCGGATTTTTGCATTAGAATTAGGAACGAAACAACGGCTCCAGCAAGACAATCGGAGATCCCCCCCCCCCCCCTCCTCCCCCCAATCACAGTACTAAATTTTGCCGCGGTAGTACAGAATAGCCCTACAATACTGACATTTTAAAAAAATGTGAGTCCGAACAAGATAATCGACACTCTCTTATTACCCCAAACCAAAACATTTTTCAGTAAATTTTTTCAAGAAGACAAAGTTTTTATCATCATTGGGAGCTGTTAATACTTTAGAATATCAAAAAGATTTTTGGGAAGTTTGGGGAGAAAACTTTTGTCTTTAGCCCCCATGAAATACAACTTTCACTGCGCCCATGGCTAGCATTCAAAGTATGAATTCAGTCTTGGCAAGTTAAATCGCTGCTCATGTGGTTAAAATAGGAGGAGCCTTCAATGTGTTCATTAGTTGAAGGGAGATCAATCCATAGAAATTTTCTACTATATACATTTTAGATGCAAATCATTACTGTTTTTTCTGAAGTCCTCTTCTACTGAAGGAAATCACGTGCCTTTTTGCAATGGTGAATTCCCTTTAGCAGTGACATACTGAAGATGTTGTGTCAAGAATTTGGTCGTCAAGACCTTAAGAACTGTTGTGCAGTATTGTTTTGGCTCCATTCTTTGTACAACAAACGACTGTCTCCATGTTTTGACTCTATGTTTCATGCAAAAGACAAATGACTGAGTAACAGCTTCTGACGCACCAATCGGTGATATGAACCTGATGATCGCGTTTAACATGAAGCTGGAAGTAGCAGCTTAGAACCGTTCGTTCTATGCACCATGCACCACATAAGCGTGAAACGATGGTACGATATATTCACGAATAAAATGGTTATATAATCTATACACGAATAACGTGGTTATTTTGTAAGTAAATCTGAAATGCATTCAAACGGGTTGATTTGAATAAAAATAATGCAATGGCTCGCTTTGTCATATTGTAATCATTGCTACAGTTTCGGTTACAAAAGTCAATTATGCGAAAAAGATGTAGGAGAGATGGAGCAAATTTTTTAGGTATCAAGAAAAGAACAAAAGGAAGAAGAAGGTAATAAAAAAATAAAGAAAGGAGAAATCAAAAGTAAGAGCAAGTAAAGGCTAAAGTGATATGTTAGCCTTGATGTTGCACAAAAACAACCGAAAGGAAATCTGGCATTCAAATATCAAACATTCAATATTGATGACCAGCCCTAATCTACTGCTTCTTCTGACCCCCTCCCTCATGCCTCATTAAAGAAATCTTCGCCCCTAAAATTTTGAATTTTCCCTGCATTCACTTTCAAAATACTCTCTGGGTCCGAGAAGGTGAACCAGCTGATTAGTAGCCATTTCAGCTGTTTAAACCCCCTGATTATTAACTTAAGACTGAGCCATGAATCCCCCACCGTCTTTCATGACCTGTATTTTGTGTGTCAGTGTATTAAGTACATAAATATAATTCCCTGACCTCTGAGATCGTGAAGGGGTGTGAACTTTAAAAAGCGCTTTGAAGACACAATTCATGTTATTTTTATTCTTACCCTCTCTTTGTCATTGATGAGCAGCTTAAATTCACCCCTCTTTTCACTGTGAATCTATTAAATTGCATTGCAAATTTTAAAGCTAGTGGTACCTTTTTTAATTTTGCAGATTTGCACAAAAACATTTGAAATTTGTTAAATTTTAATCTTTCGTTATAGTTTCGAATGACACCAAGCTTAAAGAAGAAGCTAGGTGCAGTTTATCGCCCATATTTTCTCGCATTGTCAGTTCTTGGCATCGGAATTTGTATTGGTTTGATCGTATGCGCTGCGATACTGAAAGATTTTGATTCAAACCTTAAGGATCAACTTTTCCATATCTGGGTCGCCATTCCTGTGAGTATGCTCTTTGAATGTCTATTTGTAAAGGAGCCTAATTTTCTCTCTTATTCTCTGCCACTAACTTTCACTTACTAACCCTACTTTTACCTGAATTGTTCAATTAAAACAGCACACAGATTTTAAGCAATGTTGCATGCATTCACACACAAACAATTCTAAGCTATGTGTCCCTTCACAGATATGTACTTTTCCATTCATATCATCTAATTTTGCTCTTGTTTTTAAAAAAATAGTACTGATGGCTCGTTTTCTTTATGGAACCATGATGGAACAATCAGTCTTTTGATGGTCACGAAGAAGCGTCGTAAACAGCCAGGGAAAATCTACGCAATTGATGACTCAAGTGATGACATCATAATCAGCAAATTTAAGAATTTTCGGTTTTCCGGCTGTAGCATCCACATAGGTTTTTTCAATTCCATAAAGAATTTAGCTCCGTTTATGATAATCTCATTGTTATTTTGTGAATAGCAAAAAGCATATAGGACAGGTGCTATCTTGTTGCTTTAAGTGTTTTTCATGATCTTGGAAAAGTGTAGGACCTCTAATTCTTCATGTAAAGGACCTCTAATTTGTACTTTGATCAGCATCATGAGTTCGACTTTTCTTTTAGATTTTGCTGCCAGCTGTTGTTGGAATCACAGTTTTCATAACGAAATCAAGAAAATTGGTACGCTTGCCTTTTCTTTAACTACAAATGCAACGTTACCTAAAATTTTCAACAAGTAGCTTTGTCGGAGTGACTAATGAAGAACAGTATTGAAAGAGATATTGATACGAAGTTCACTTCAGAATTCATCGCATCTGTAATACATGAGGGTCTTTTTGGACAACTAATTTTCCTATAACAGGCTCATAAAAATATGAAATCTGACGTTTTTACAAACTGCATCTTGTTAAGCGGCTTTTTTATTATATTGGTTTGTTTACCTTGGTAAGAAAAGCGTTTGACTATAAGGTCACAATGTTATACTCCTTTCACGTAAAAATATTTTAAAACTTATTGGCATCGGGAACCTTTTTTTCTTCTTATCATTTTCCTTACTATGTATCATTATAAAATTTGTTCAGCAGGGCCTTACATCTTCAGTATAGCGTCAGTCTAGGACTTTTTGCCCTACTTTTTGTCACTTCTTAATGATACTTGTGTTCTAGGTCATCCTTTTCCTGATCTGCTCCCTCACTGTGACCGTGCTCTGTGCTGCTGCTTCACTCTTGACTGGCATCAGATACTGGTTGGATGGCTGGTACACCACTCGCGAAAGGCTTGATGCTGGAAACAAGTGCTCGGTCCAGAATAATGCCTGCGCATGCACTGGTGTTTTCAAAATGCCCGTTTCGTGTAAGTAAAATCTCCTCAATCATTTAATTGATGTTCTTCACGCTTAGTTAGAATATAGTGTAGGTGTGCCAGCGTAATTACAATTCCGATAAATAGAGGGGATGTCTTATAGCCATACTTGTTATGTAGCCCAGAAAAATATTATATACAATATTTTAATACCTAAGAAGATTGGGTATAACATAATATTATAATTGCAATCTCTTCTCTGGCCTCTGGTAACTAAAAGAATTGCCATAATATGAGTAAGAAATATTCGTGCAGTGCTACAAATTAAAGGGTGAGAAACGGATATTTATAGTTGATAAAGGATACATCCAATATGTGTCTTTAATAGTAAAACGAAGGCTAAGGCCCGTTACAACCTTGATTGTACGCGAAAGCACCTTTGAGGAGCCCAAGCTATTGATACCTTGTTACATTGCTTGTATAGAAATGCAGCATTTTTTGAATGATCAGGAAGACGAGGAAAGCTGCTCATTTAGGCTGTTTCAATATTTGATTTCGGAGCCAACATAAGACCCTAACCATCCAATAACGTGTCGCAGTTGTTGAAAGATTCTTGCACCAAATTTGCAAATCTGCTTCCTAAGCACATTTGAAATAAGCCTATTTGAGTATCAAAAACTCTTTCTTCCATTATTCCTCTCTTTCTTTCCTTCCTTCTTTTTTTCTTTCTTTCTTTCTTTCTTCTTTCTTTCTTTCTTTCTTTCTTTCTTTCTTTCTTTCTTTCTTTCTTTCTTTCTTTCTTTCTTTCTTTCTTTCTTTCTTTCTTTCTTTCTTTCTTTCTTTCTTTCTTTCTTTCTTTCTTCTTTCTTTCTTTCTTTCTTCTCTTTCTTTCTTTCTTTCTTTCTTTCTTTCTTTCTTTCTTTCTTTCTTTCTTTCTTTCTTTCTTTCTTTCTTTCTTTCTTTCTTTCTTTCTTTCTTTCTTTCTTTCTTTCTTTCTTTCTTTCTTTCTTTCTTTCTTTATTCGTCTCTTTCTTTTTTTCTTGTTTCTTTCTGTCTTTTTTCTTTCGTGGGTACATAATTATGAATCATGTTTGGTGTTTAGTCTCTCTTTCTTTTTCTTTCAGTGAAGAAATGCAGTGAGGTTGAAACCGCCGCAAATGTCCTTGTTGGTGAAATTGTGCTCACTGCACTAGGCCTTATTATCAACATCATGGGTGTCTATCTTGGATTTATGTCCATCTGCTGTGGTCCCTGGAAGGTAATTTTTTTCCTTCTGTACAATAAAATTTTCCGTTGCATAAAGGTGTCCGTTAATATAATGGTTCCAATATTTATTCAGAAAGAAACATTTTCAAGATATCCTTGTACAGAAATGATGAAAAGAGTATAATAATTCCAAATCCATCCTGTTTAGAGGGACAAGTAACTCAGAACAAATACAAACAAGAATTGTAAAATACTTCTTAGGACCATTGCAACAGAATTTTACTAGGGGTACTGTAAAGTAACAATATTTCTTGACAAATAAGGCGTGGTGATTTGCTGAAATTTGCTCCAATAGGGGTGCTACTACCCACCGGATCTACAGCCCCAACCTCCTTATTGCGACGGCCCTTAGTTACTGCTATTAATGCATCTGATGAAAAAATATATTGAAGTTGACGTACCCATAAAAATTAATCAAGATTAGTTGCATTCGATATATATTATAGACTATACAAAAGAAGTAAGTTAAGTTCGATATTTTGATTCATGAGATCGAAAGTGATATATTGCATCGTTTTCTGCAGTTTTTAGACAACTACGACCCTGAAAATGATATTGACAAAAGAACAGTCCAATTCAAATTGGGCCGAAACCGCCCATCAACGGCCGGAAACACCAACCGTGGATTCAAAGAGTAAGCAATAAGAAGACAGATAATGGCCAAGAACAGGTTTTAGCAATTTCAGCTATTTTGTATTTGACAATCGTCGTTTTGTTTTATCATTTAATCTATCTTTGACCAATATCACTTATATACGAAGTGATAATTCATGCAATCTAAAATTTGTACGATTTCATAATACTTGGTCAGTTTATAAATTCATTAAGTAGATGTGTAAAAATAATAACTTTTAAAGCTTTCATATAGACGTTTCTGGCTCAACCAATTTTTGTAATTAAACGAAAGCCTCTAGACATGAAAAATGGAAGAGTGTCGAAGAAAGGATTTTTAACAAACATTTTGTCGAAGTTTCTTTTTATTATGAGAAGGGGATTTATTGAACAATAAAATTGATCTGGTAAAGAATATAAGTTTTCTCCAAAGATAACAGCAATGGTTTTGGGAAATTGTTTATTCATACAAATAAATATTTCACATAAATTAAGCTCAACCTGGTCAGTTCTGGTAAAAACAAGTAGAAATCATTTATGTTGGATGATGAAGAAACCTTCAACTAGAGGGGTGGATTTTTTCTAATGCCTTATTTAACTAAAGCAGAAAATTGTTGAGTCATAACATGAGGCATAAATCATGGAAAAAATCGATGTAAATCAGTGGCTGCACCAGCCAATAGACTCTGGAAAGACAAAACAAAACGTTTTATGCTACGATCTCTTCTCCGCCGGGAAGCGCTGTCGACAAAGAAGGCTAATTCTACCTTCAGGATAATCAGATACATGCCCACAACAGTCTTTTGGTTCAAAATCAGATACAATACCAGTAGATACGAGTAGAAATGAAAAAAGCTGTTCTAAGATTAATAAGAATCCAGTGTTTCTAAGTGTTTATAACACCAAAGCATTACTTTCAAATTCTCGATCTTTCAGGAGCTATAGAATATTTTAAAAGAAATAATTTCGTTAGAACTTCATGACTTTGGGAAACTGAAGCCTTAATCTTTTATCAAATATCGACCCTTCCAAAATTTAACATTTCCCCTTGAAATAAGACTACGATTCCGGCATTACTTTCAAATCTTATATTTTCTAATCATCTACAAGCAAATCAAATTGTTTTTATCAAAGAACGACCCACCTGAAAAGCTGTCATCTTCTCCGAAATATATTACATTCATACCAGTACTAAATTCATTTTCTTATATTCTAATCAAGTACAAGCAATATAAACAGTTTTTGAAAAGACGTGACGTTTAAAACAGTATTAAACTCAATTCTTGTACATCCCTATCATTAACAAGAAATAAACCATTTTTTTGAATAACAAATTTGTCAAAAAAATTTAACGTAGCCTTACTATTTTATCAGAAATTGACCCATCTAGAAAGTCGTCTTTTTCTCCAAAACATAAATTTGATACCAGTATTAAATTTCATTGTTGCTTTTTCTGACCAAAGTTAAGCAAATTAAACAGTTTTTGGATCAAAAAAACTGTGAAAGAAATTGAAAATTATAGCCTTACTATTTTCTCAGAAACTGATCCATCTCGAAAATCGCCTTTTTTTCAAATATTATGACTTTGATACCAGTATTAATTTTCCTTCTTGCTTTTTCTGACCATGGCTAACCAAATCAACTAGTTTTTGAAAGAAAAAAATTGTGAAAAAAATTGAAAGTTTTTGCCTTACTAATTTGTCAAAAAATCATCCATCTAGAAAATCGTCTTTTTCTTAAAAAATATGACCTCGATGACAGTATTATATTAAATTCTTGTCTTTTCTGACCATGGCTAATCAAATTAACCAGTTTTTGAAAGAAAAAAATTGTGAAAAAAATTGAAGATTTTTGTAAGCCTATAGCCTTACTATTTTGTCAAAAAATCATCCATCTAGATAATCGTCTTTTTCTCAAAAAAAATGACTTCGATGTCAGTATAATATTAAATTCTTGCCTTTTCTGACCATGGCTAATCAAATTAAGCAGTTTTTCAAAGAAAAAAATTGTGAAAAAAATTGAAGATTTTTGTAAGCCTATAGCCTTACTATTTTGTCGGAAAATCATCCATCTAGAAAATTGTCTTTTTCTTACAAAATATGACTTCGATGACAGTATTATATTAAATTTTTGCCTTTTCTGACCATGGCTAATCAAATTAACCAGTTTTTCAAAGAAAAAAAATGTGAAAAAAATTGAAGATTTTTGTAAGCCTATAGCCTTACTATTTTGTCAAAAAATCATCCATTTAGAAAACCGTCTTTTTCTTAAAAAATATGACTTCGATGACAGTATTATATCAAATTCTTGCTGATTCTTACCATGGCTAATCAAATTAACCAGTTTTTGAAACAAGAAAAATGTGAAAAAATTTGAAGATTTTTGTAAGCCTATAGCCTTACTATTTTGTCAGAAATTGATCCATCTAGAAAATCGTCTTTTTCTTAAAAAATATGATATCGATGACAGTAGTATATTAAATTCTTGCCTTTTCTTACCATGGCTAATCAAATTAACCAGTTTTTGAAAGAGAAGAATTGTAAAAAAAATTGAAGATTTTTGTAAGCCTATAGCCTTACTATTTTGTCAGAAATTGATCCATCTAGAAAATCGTCTTTTTCTTAAAAAATATGACTTTGATGCCAGTATTATATTAAATTTTTGCCTTTTCTTACCATGGCTAATCAAAGTATTCAGTTTTTGACAGAAGAAAAATGTGAAAAAAATTGAAGATTTTTGTAAGCCTATAGCCTTACTATTTTGTCAGAAATTGATCCATCTAGAAAACCGTCTTTTTCTTAAAAAATATGACTTCGATGACAGTATTATATTAAATTTTTGCCTTTTCTTACCATGGCTAATCAAATTAACCAGTTTTTGACAGAAAAAAAATGTGAAAAAAATTGAAGATTTTTGTAAGCCTATACCCTTACTATTTTGTCAGAAATTGATCCATCTAGAAAATCGTCTTTTTCTTAAAAAATATGACTTTGACGCCAATATTATATTTAATTCTTGCCTTTTCTGACTATGGCTAATCAAATTAACCAGTTTTTGAAAGAAAAGAATTGTGAAAAAAATTGAAGATTTTTGTAAGCCTATAGCCTTACTATTTTGTCAGAAAATCGTCCATCTAGAAAAACGTCTTTTTCTTAAAAAATATGACTTAGATGTCAGTATTTTATTAAATTCTTGCCTTTTCTGACCATGACTAATCAAATTAACCAGTTTTTCAAAGAAAAAAAATGTGAAAAAAATTGAAGATTTTTGTAAGCCTATAGCCTTACTATTTTGTCAGAAAGTGATCCATTTAGAAAATCGTCTTTTTCTTAAAAAATATGACTTTGATGCCAGTATTATATTAAATTTTTGCCTTTTCTTACCATGGCTAATCAAATTAACCAGTTTTTGAAAGAAAAGAATTGTGAAAAAAATTGAAGATTTTTGTAAGCCTATAGCCTTACTATTTTGTCAGAAATTGATCCATCTAGAAAACCGTCTTTTTCTTAAAAAATATGACTTTGATGCCAATATTATATTTAATTCTTGCCTTTTCTGACTATGGCTAATCAAATAAACCAGTTTTTGAAAGAAAAAAATTGTGAAAAAAATTGAAGATTTTTGTAAGCCTATAGCCTTACTATTTTGTCAGAAATTGATCCATCTAGAAAACCGTCTTTTTCTTAAAAAATATGACTTCGATGCCAGTATTATATTAAATTCTTGCCGTTTTCTGACCATTGCTAATCAAATAAACCAATTTTTGAAAGAAAAAAATTGTGAAAAAAATTGAAGATTTTTGTAAGCCTATAGCCTTACTATTTTGTTAGAAATTGATCCATCTAGAAAACCGTCTTTTTCTTAAAAAATATGACTTCGATGCCAGTATTATATTAAATTCTTGCCTTTTCTTACCATGGCTAATCAAATAAACCAGTTTTTGAAAGAAAAAAATTGTGAAAAAATTGAAGATTTTTGTAAGCCTATAGCCTTACTATTTTGTCAGAAATTGATCCATCTAGAAAACCGTCTTTTTCTTAAAAAATATGACTTCGATGCCAGTATTATATTAAATTCTTGCCTTTTCTTACCATGGCTAATCAAATTAACCAGTTTTTGAAAGAAGAAAAATGTGAAAAAATTTGAAGATTTTTGTAAGCCTATAGCCTTACTATTTTGTCAGAAATTGATCCATCTAGAAAATCGTCTTTTTCTTAAAAAATATGATATCGATGACAGTAGTATATTAAATTCTTGCCTTTTCTTACCATGGCTAATCAAATTAACCAGTTTTTGAAAGAGAAGAATTGTAAAAAAAATTGAAGATTTTTGTAAGCCTATAGCCTTACTATTTTGTCAGAAATTGATCCATTTAGAAAATCGTCTTTTTCTTAAAAAATATGACTTTGATGCCAGTATTATATTAAATTTTTGCCTTTTCTTACCATGGCTAATCAAAGTATTCAGTTTTTGACAGAAGAAAAATGTGAAAAAAATTGAAGATTTTTGTAAGCCTATAGCCTTACTATTTTGTCAGAAATTGATCCATCTAGAAAACCGTCTTTTTCTTAAAAAATATGACTTTGATGCCAGTATTATATTAAAGTTTTGCCTTTTCTTACCATGGCTAATCAAATTAACCAGTTTTTGACAGAAAAAAAATGTGAAAAAAATTGAAGATTTTTGTAAGCCTATAGCCTTACTATTTTGTCAGAAATTGATCCATCTAGAAAATCGTCTTTTTCTTAAAACATATGACTTCGATGACAGTATTATATTAAATTTTTGCCTTTTCTTACCATGGCTAATCAAATTAACCAGTTTTTGACAGAAAAAAAATGTGAAAAAAATTGAAGATTTTTGTAAGCCTATACCCTTACTATTTTGTCAGAAATTGATCCATCTAGAAAATCGTCTTTTTCTTAAAAAATATGACTTTGATGCCAATATTATATTTAATTCTTGCCTTTTCTGACTATGGCTAATCAAATTAACCAGTTTTTGAAAGAAAAGAATTGTGAAAAAAATTGAAGATTTTTGTAAGCCTATAGCCTTACTATTTTGTCAGAAATTGATCCATCTAGAAAATCGTCTTTTTTTTAAAAAATATGACTTCGATGACAGTATTATATTATATTCTTGCTGATTCTTACCATGGCTAATCAAATTAACCAGTTTTTGAAAGAAAAAAATTGTGAAAAAAATTGAAGATTTTTGTAAGCCTATAGCCTTACTATTTTGTCAGAAATTGATCCATCTAGAAAATCGTCTTTTTCTTAAAAAATATGACTTTGATGCCAGTATTATATTAAATTCTTGCCGTTTTCTGACCATTGC